TAAAAGCATCAACACCACGTACATACTGAGGACAAAATCTGTCCTTCAGTTTCAACCACGACCTATCCATTCTCCTAGTGCACTTAAAGTGAACTAACCTGAACAACTCAAAGTCCCGTTGCTGCAAATTCCCACTTGCAATGAAACTACAACAGTTCACAACTCCAACAGAAATGCCCAGCTGGTGCAGGAGAAGGAGGATTAAAAGTAGTAGAACCTGGGGGAAAACAAATGCAAACAAGGTTAGTTAGGGCCAAATAGGCTGCTGGACACTCCCCTCACCAGAAACGAATTCGAGATAAGCACAGTAATGATGTCCTACTAATGCTTTCAGTCATGGCGATGTTAACAAACAACTAAAGAAGGTTGCAACCTCACAAGACCTAATTACTAACTCACACATTGACAAGCAAACAAAAAAGAACTCGCAGAATTTGAATGTCAATTAGGAACGAGTAATCACTCATAATTTCACAGATTCATGCATTCAGGGGAAGAGAATGAGAGGGGTCCTAACCTTGGGTTCGAATATCCTCTTTCGTTTATCTAAGGACCTGCTCCAAATATATGATTCTGGACGATTGAGGATCTCGAAAATTGTTGGAGATGCTTCCGCTGGGCATGCAATCAGACAAGGGTTAGGGATTGGAAGTCAAGCGCACAATCTGTTTCCTTCCCTCTAGGGACGGAATAGAGCATGCAACCGAAGCAAGGAAACCTAGAAACTGAAAAACAAACGAACAATCAAACTGGAGGTTGCGAGGATTCTTACATGCACTGACGAAATTGGATGCGGGGACGGCGATGGATGAGGTCTGCGCGCGGGGACGGCAGTGGATGAGGTCTGGGCTTGGGGATGGCGGTGGATGAGGTCTGCGCGCGGGAACAGAGAAAGGAAAGAAAGGGGGAAGAGATCAATCTAGGGATTCAGAGATAGGTGATTGGGCGGAGAATGAAAAAAAAAGGGGGGAAGAGATCAATCTGCGCACAATCTCCTAAAACGAAAGGAAAGAAAGGGGGGAAGAATGAAAAAAATAAGCGCCTAGAATTCCCTCCATGAACGATTGAGTTTTCTTTTCAGTATGAGAATTTGAGATATTTCTTCTTCCTTCGCTCCATAATATCCCGCCATTCTCGATAATTTCACTTAATTAGTCGTCGATAGGTAAATAACACCTATTTTGACTGTTCAGCATAAGATATTTTGACAAACTACTCGTCACGACTGTAAACTATTTCGACTACGTGTACTATGACAAGCCGGTTGTCATAACAAGATAGTCATTCTAACCCGGGAGCACCATATTTTGACAACATACTAATGACAACACGTATTTTGTCATAATAACACCTTATTTCGACAGAATATTCTGTCAACTCTGATTTTGTCATAATAGGTTGTACTATTTTGACAAATAATAGGATTGTCATATTAAATATCTTATTATGACAAATCTATTATGACAAAAAATTATTTTGTCGTAACTAACCAAAATTCTTGTAGTGATTATATCACTAGTATGTCTCAAGAGGTTCATGACCGTCAGACAAGAAGTCCATGGCCGCGAGGCAAGACGACCACGACCCCCTTTGTGATACACCACATGCTTATAAAAAGACTAGCATGGCACGAGATTTGGAACAAGACTAGGCGAGGCAAGCTACACTGCAAGACCCACGGCGGTTCCAAGAGAAGCACCTAGGGGGTTGAAGGAGTAACCATCATTCCGAGGAAGCAGAGAGCAGTTCTTTTTGGGAGTTATCCAACAGGCAGTTTTCTATGGCAGTTACCTCCTCGTGGGTATAAATAGGAGGGGGGAGGGGGTTGACAGAGACAAGGAGCCCCAAAATCAATTCTCTGAAACACATGTCAAGTTTATCGTTTACCTTTTTCTCTATCATGTAGTCATAGACGTAGCTTTTAGTTTGGAGCTCTCGTTGAACCTCCATAGGACTAGGAGTAATTTAATTTAGTTTCATTCCCAAAAACCATCAATCAAACACCCTCGTTCGAACTTTGTTTGAAGAGGTGTGAACCGTGTCGTAGAAATCTTTGTCCAAAGAAGTCAAAGGTGCATTGATCTCAATTTCAACGCAAGTTTTCTCGCTAGAAAACAAAACCTAAAATAAAGAAGACAACAAATTTTGATAACAGTATAAAATATGCGAAACCTCATTACCACTCATCCATATCGTCTTCAACACTTGGTTTGCTTTTAGAGAGATTGAGAGTTGTTCCCATGAATAGGCCATCTTTCCCATCCCCCATCCACAAGATTGGCATTCCTGTTGGAAATTTTATCTGATGTTAAATTATGAGAGGCAGTCTTTGAAGTAGTAGTTACTAACTCTCAAGGGAAGATTTTCAACCATCAAAGTGACAGGGTCACTTTCTATTCCCCGATTGAGGTTGTAGCTTACGATCTCTTTGAAGCTTGTAAGTTGTCATGATAGAAGAATGGATCTCTGCACCCAAAAATATTGTGACAGGATGTGATTACGAACACATAAAGGGAAATAATTGGACGAAGATTTGAAGAAAAATAGAAAAACTGGCCGATTGCTGATTTAGAGAGATGAGAAGAAACTAGAGTTAAAAGATACGTTAAATTATTTTTTATACATAACTCAAGAACGAAATTATATTATATAGATTATAGTCTAAACCCTAATCATTAAACTAATTATTAATTTCCTAATCAATCCTTGACATGTACACGTGCATCCATCATGGGTTTGTTAAAAAGTTTAGTAGATGATTTATGTTACCATTTTGTCTTTTATAGGTAATATGTTTTATGTTTTGCTTCTTATTTTAATAAAGTCAGCCACGAAAATAAAATCTATCTTACTATCAACGTGTAACAATTATTTGGATATTAACCTTGGTAACGATTATTTTACTAGTAGTATGTGAAAAGTTTTATCTCCTATGAATCTAATTAACCAGTAATGTAGCATGCAAAGTTTAATATTACTCAGAAAAAACTTTAAAATTGGTCACTTTTACTGAAGTAGTCGTTGAAAAAATAAAGAAAGTCACTAACCACATATGCGTAAGCCGTAAAGTCTACGATTCCTCACATGTGTGGGGTTCACTTCTTTAGAGAGGATATCAATTATTTTATTAATCTGTCAATCAAATATAGAGAAAAATAGTATTTACTGTGACTTTGATACAGTTAATTGTTTGTAATTTACTTCTCAATATCTGATGAACCTTAGACAACATACTAATTAGTCTTCCACAAATCTTTGGTTTTCAATTTTAATCTCACTCGCTAACTGGCTCTTGTATTCGGTCATGTTGACATTTGGTGTTGTTTGTCTATATCATGTTGAAAGACAGGTCAAACAAATTAAGAAAATTTGATTTCCCCTTTTGGAGAAATCCCATTGAATCTCGAATTTCTTGGACACATACTTGGAAAGTTGATGGTTAAGCGTGGGATGGTAGAAAATATGATGATCATTCAAACGTACGAATAAGAAACAATTATTTGTCATGTAAAAGTGGGTTACAGGTCATCCAGGTAACTCGCTACCCACCTGCCACTCACTCACATAAGTGCGGGTAGAAGGTTTACCGATCCACGATCTAATCAAATCAATCACTCATGGACAACCATTTATGTTATTTGCGCCCCCTAGTTTCCCCTATGCTCGATCAAATTCACTTCATCACGATTATATTTTGATCCTCGCATATGCTATTATGTTAACCTGAGCTCTCGTTTGGAGTTTAAATGAATGAAAAATCTTATTGAAATAAAGAAGTAAACTTAGAATAGCTTAGCAGTAATCAGTAGGGATGCAAATTAAATGAGCCGAGTCGAATTGAGTTTTGATAAATTCGAGCTTGACTTGTTTTTTAACGAGTCGAATTGGAACGAGTTTTGTCTAAGTTTGAGCTTGAGTCGTTAAGAAACGAGCCGAGCTCATCCCGAACCTTTTCCCGACAAGATACTATCCGCTTTGGGCCTCTACACCCGCACGGATTTGTCTTGGGGTGCATATCAAGGTGACTTCCCATAAAGGTCATCCATCTCTGTTGTACTCCACACTGAGCATGTTTAACTTCGGAGTTCTCACAAGAACTCCTCAATTTCTCCCCAAAACGCGTCTTGTCAGTTAAGGCTGGTTTCCTACTTATAAACCATGGATCTCTCCCGTGCTTTGTCGATATGGAATTTGCCTAAGGTGTTACATATTAGCTCATTATGGAGCTTATGAGTTTTACTCGATCTCGACTCATCAATTAAATCACGAGCCCAACTCAGTTATAATTCTAAATGGTTGAACCCTTAAATTCACCTCTAAATAATTTATAACTTGAATACCGTAATATTTTTATGTCATATATCATACATGTGGTTAATGAAAAAGGATAATAATCAATTTTCTTTGCTAATTGATCTCATGTTTATATTCTATGTTGGTGTAATATAATTCACTTCATAATTTTTAACCAATTCATATATTGTTATTTAATAATATTTAGTACTAAGCATTCTATAATATATAATTTCTTACATATTTGGTTATATACTCAAAATCTTAAACCATTATATTTCTCGCTAACCACATTGTGGAGGCAGGTCATTAGTTGAACTGAATGAACCACTAAGTTGAGCTAGCTCTCAAGCCTCATGAGCCGAATAAGAATGTTCGGCTCGAGTACTAACAAGCCGAGTTAAGAATGAGCTTCTTCCGAGTCGGGCATCGAGCCGATCGTGAACAACTTGGCTTATTTGCAACCCTACTTAATAACAAACCGACCTTGAAAACGAGCTTCTCCTGAGTCGAAACCGCTCGTGAGTCGTGAACAATTTGGCTCATTTACATCCTACTCAATAGTATAATTTTTCACGACATGCTAACATACAATTGTGGTGCCAATCAAGGCTGCTAGTCATTTTCCTTGTTTTCCAAACTAGGCATTTAATTTACTGCTGCTCGTTGATAGTAGCTTCCCATTTTCAAAACCGTATTTTAACACTTATCGTTTTTTCTCAAAACTGCTCACCAACGTAATAAAACAAAAACGGCCGGAAGAAAACAAAGGATCGAAAGAAAACCATAAGAAAGGCAGAGAGCTAAGGGACAGAAATCCGCTTTGGTCATGCTTCGTCATATATTTGCAGAGCAGAGTCATTGGAGCTGCTGCTACTAGGGGTGTACATGGGTCGGGTGGTCCGGGTTTAGGCATTTTAATCACCCGACCCATGCACTACGGTTTGGAAAATATTAAACCCAAACCCATCCAAAAAAATCTAAACCCTACGGTTTGTTTCTAATTGGGTTGGGTCGGGTTGGCGATATTTTTAAGTAAAAACCCAACCCAACACAAAATATGTAATTATACTACATCATAAAAATATTTTATAACAAATTAAATATTCAAACGAATAAACCGAGGTGAAAGGTATCAAAATTCACAAATATTGTTAGAATTTTAATAAAACTTGATTTACTTCAACTTATGTCTAGTTTTTTTCACGACATTTGTTGAAATAGGCTAAAAAGGTTACAAATGAACACATCCATAATATGATATTCTTTTAAAATTGTACACAAGAAAAAAAAAATTACTTGAATCATGGCTATATTAAATGTATGTCTAAACTTTAAGTCGAAGAATGCATTAGATTAGTGAGACTTTAAGAGAAAAATATGGTGAAATATCTTAATTTTCTCATAAGTATGACTATATACGACATAAATACTTTTTTGGATACAAACTCGTACCAATAATTGGAACACGGGTTGGGTCGGGTTCTACGGGTTGTGTAATCCAAAATCCAAACCCAACCCAAAAGAGGCGGGTTGTACAAAAGAAAACCCTCACCCAACCCAAAACCTTCAATTTAGCGATAAATACGGGTGGGTTGGGTCGGATTGGACGGGTGGGTCGGTTTGCGGGTGTATTTGTTCACCCCTAGCTGCTACTTGCTTACTGGTTAGTGCCTAGCCCATCTCAAATCTTCTGTAATTTGTTAATGGCTATTGGAACTAGCAGATAAGTAAACGCAAGTGGGGAATTCCATTATACCCTTTCTTTAATCTAATTCTACGTACGCCATGGCGTTGGTAAATTGTAGGTGTTTTTGGTGGAGGCTTTGGAAAAACGAAAGATGCCGCCACGGACTTCTTCCCCACCGCTGTTTTCTTTCCTTTTTTGCAAACGCACAGACTGATTCTTTCTTCTTCTTGTTGTTGTTCCCAACCAAAAACAACAAACAGTCAACCCAAGTCTTGATTGATTTTGTCCGCTCCTTCTATAAGGTTTTCCTTTCTTGCGTTTGCCTACTCTTCATCAATCAGCCATTCCCTTGTTTGCAATCCTCGGCATGAAATTGGTGTGGGCCAGTTTCTGTTTATGGCTTGCCCACGGCGGCGGAATTGCGCTGGTTACCGCGGCCAGTGCATGCGGGCCTGAGAGGGAGCTGAATCAGACTCCAACTTGGGCCGTCGCCGGTGTCTGTGCTGTGATCATCATCATCTCTATCCTCCTTGAGAAGCTTCTTCACAAACTTGGCTCGGTCTGTACTCGTGAAGCTTCTGTTTTTGTGATTGAATTGTGTGATTGCTTCTAACTGGATTAAAATTGCAGTGGTTTACAGAACGGCACAAGAGAGCTCTATTCGAGGCCTTGGAGAAGGTCAAGGCTGGTGGGTTCTCTGTCTTTTCCTGTGTGGGCTTCATAAAGTTGGAACCTTTATACCACAGTGTTTTAAGCAATTGTTGGGTTTTGGTGTTGCAGAGCTTATGGTACTGGGTTTCATTTCATTGCTGCTGACTTTTGGTCAGAACTACATCTTGAAGATTTGTGTCCCCTCAGAGGTAGCAAATTCGATGCTGCCATGTGCTTATGAGGGTGAGCACAAAACTGATGAAGAGGAGGAACATCGTCGGAGGCTGTTGTGGTTTGAACACAGGATGTTAGCTGGTGCAGACTCTGCTACAAAGTGCAAGGAGGTCTGTGTTGCAATTCTTAACCTCATGACTAGTGATGAGTGAGTTGATTTTGACTGTGGTCTATTATAAGTCGACATGGTTTTGTTTAGCTGAAATTACCATCTATCATAGCATGCCTCCTAAATTGAATCCACCGTGTTGCTGTAGTCTTGCGTTCTTACTAAATTGAGAGATGGGTTCCATCAAGTTAGATTATTGGTGAATGTATGTGTTTGAGACTTATGAGGAATGGATCATGACCTGATTTGGAAATTGACCAGTCTAGTTTAGGGTTTTAGGTAAGTTTGTAGTGGGTCAACTTGAATGAGATTAGTTGAATCACTCAATATGTCACATCGTGATTCTAAGAATCTTTAGTGAGTCCATAATGTGTATCTTACTGATATGGTTCTTCTGTACAGGGGCACGTACCACTTATATCAGCCAATGGACTGCATCAACTACACATCCTCATTTTCTTCTTAGCTGTTTTTCATGTGATCTATAGTTTTGTAACCATGATGCTCGGGAGATTGAAGGTAGATTACTGCGGTTGCCTTCATTCCATTTTGCATACATACTTCTGAGATGTGACTTTCAGCTTCTGAATTCAAGGTCTCTTTACCTCCTCTTTTGCATAATTTTAATAGGAAACTTGATCTGTTGATTTCTTAATGGTCTAGATTCGTGCCTGGAAGGAGTGGGAGCAAGAAACCTCCTCTCATGATTATGAGTTCTCTAATGGTATTTTGGTCAAACTTTCTACGCTGGAACTCCCTGTTCATGTTTCTTTTGTTGAATGTTTTTGGAAAACCCCTTTCCATTTTGCTTCTCATGTCACAGGATACCAACGTGCTCTTGTTAACAGATCCTTCAAGGTTCCGGCTTACTCATGAGACATCTTTCGTGAGAGCACATACAAGTTTCTGGACAAGGATTCCAGTCTTCTTTTATTTTGTAAGATCATACTAACTGTACTTTATTTCATAAACACAAGCTTCCATTTTATTGGTGAAAGTGTTCTTTTCGCCTACTTAGTGTAGATGAAGAAGATGCTCTTATCTTCGGAAAACAAATTGATAACCACAAAAGATTAAATGGAGGTCGGTTGAATGTAATTTCTTGAGCTGAATGTTTCTGGACACTGCAGGGATGCTTCTGTAGGCAGTTCTTCAGATCAGTTAGTAAGTCTGACTACATGACATTGCGCAATGGGTTCATCACTGTAAGTCTTTTCTATCCCATGCCTCTACTTTATAGCCAACTTCTCTTTAACTTGGGAAATGAGTTAGATATCAATCCCCTCTTTCCTTGTAATAGTGGGTTTGTTTCATTGCAATAGGTGCACCTAGCTCCTGGAAGTAAGTTCAATTTCCAAAAGTACATCAAGAGGTCATTGGAGGATGATTTTAAACTTGTCGTCGGAGTGAGGTAGCGTGTCCTTTTTTATATAGTAATCATGATAAATTAGATTTCTTATCTCTACAGTTGGCTTGGATTGGAGATATTATAGAATTGGATGAATAACTGAATTCATTTTGAATGCGATTGGCAGTCCTGTTTTGTGGGCGTCTTTTGTGGTTTTCCTGCTTCTGAATGTTAATGGTAAGTCTGTGCTTGTACTGGTTCTTGTGCAAAGGATTTGAAAGCATTGTTTATTTGCAGTAACTGACTGGGTTTGGTTATGGATTCAGGTTGGCAAGCACTCTTTTGGGCATCCACAATTCCTGTGATTGTAAGAGACTAGAAAGAAATAGTGTCTCTTTGCTGTTCTCTTTGTATGGATGATGGAGACTGAACAGTGATTTCTTGCTGCAGATAATCTTAGCAGTTGGAACAAAGCTTCAGTCAATTTTGACGAAGATGGCAATCGACATCTCAGACAGGCATGCAGTGGTGCAAGGGATACCACTCGTGCAAGGGTCAGACAAATACTTTTGGTTTGGTCGCCCCCAGTTAGTTCTTCATCTCATTCATTTTGCTTTGTTTCAGGTAACTCTTAAACCACATGCATAACTACAGAAAATTTAGTGAACAATTGTCTTTTCAATCTAATCTCATCATATATAAGGTTGCATTTACCTGTTATCAACAGTTACTTCTATTATTGACTGTCTCTTCTCTTTTGGTGATCCTGCAGAACGCTTTCCAGATAACATATTTCCTGTGGATATGGGTAAATGGACTTTTCTGTTCTAGTTGTGCATAGTCAAATAGATGATATACTCATATACATGCTCATAGTTGACCATTTTTATGTCTACATCGCAGTATGCATTTGGCATAAAGTCGTGCTTCCATGCTAATTTCACTCCCGCCATTGTCAAAGTCAGCATCGGGTAGGTATTTCTTCATAAATTTTGGTCATTTTTGGAGATATTTCTGTTTTCATATCTAATAATTGCACTGGCATTGCTTCTGCAGGGTTGGTGTCCTACTCCTATGCAGTTACATCACGCTTCCCCTTTATGCACTAGTGACTCAGGTGCCTAGTACTTAATTAATAAAGCAACTACCATCAAATTAATTTTTACCATGAGCAGTAATTCACATACACTGGGCAAATGCATCTTTTTCCACAGATGGGTTCCAACATGAAGAAAGCAGTGTTCGATGAGCAGACATCCAAGGCTTTGAAGAAGTGGCACATGGCCGTGAAGAAGAAGCAGGCAGGGGGCAGAGGCTCGAAGTCGTCTTTATCAGTCAGAACTCTGGGAGGTGGAGATGCAAGCCCGATGTCCGTGACAGCAGATGGCTCCCCCACGGCCAGAACTTTGCTGTCCACCGGCTCCTCTGGCCACACATTGCACCGTTTCAAGACCACTGGCCACTCTACACGATCTTACTACGCATACCGCGATGATGATGAGTTGTCAGACATGGAAACCGAGGCTTTGTCCCCTGTTCCTTCGTCATCAATCATTCATATGAGTTTGATTGGTGGGTCGAGGGATCATGAAGGTGGGGGAGAAGGTGAAGAGTTGGATGATCGGATTCCGATTTCTGGTGGAAATTTGATGGACGAATCCTTCCCGCACCAGCATGCTGGGGACGAAAGTACTACTGGAAATGAGGACGATTTCAGCTTCGTGAAGCCGGCTGTTTCCTTTAAACAACCATGAATGATGCTATGTCTTCGGCTAGCAGCGTGAGATGTATATTCTGTTCATTCCTGCCTTTGGCAACCATGTTTGTCAACTCGCCAAATCAAGTTCCCATGAAGAAGTAAATGAGGAATGGTGTGCTCAAGTCGTCAAACAACTCGATTGCATTTCTCAAAACTTAAGAATTATCATTCAAAAAGGCCACGAAGAACCACCAACAGAATGGAGGCCGTGAGGACTAATTCAGCACATGCTTACACTACGGCCTGTACACACTGTAGCCAAATTCTTTCCAATAGCTTGTTTGTTAACTCAGGGATGGTACCAGGGAGAAAATCTGAAAAATACAGCACAGAACTTTACAAACATCTTTTCACCTTCATCTTAAAATTCAGCAAATCACTCCAATTCATCAGGCTCCTCATCATCACTGCCGCCCCCAAACATGGAAGCCATTTTCATTGCCAGATTTGCAGCCATTTCCCTTCTCTGTACATCTGGCATCAATCTCAACCCATCTCTTATATTCCCTATTTCAAACATGACCTTTTCCAAGTCCTCGAAGTCGAATGGTTCAACCTCACCATTTGCTTCCCATACTTCTTTTTTTCGCACTGCTCCTTTGCCATCCTCTGACGATTCCCCTCTCCGAGTAGACGAGAGCTGCACATTTCCTTCATAACCCTTTTCTCCATTCTCAGGGTAAGTCCCAATGCCACCTTCTCCAGCATTTGATACAAGACTTTCTTTGTTCCCGTTGCTAAGTCCGGCAACATCGTGTTTTTCTGCTGCACTAGATTCCCCTTCACTCGGAGTGGAAGTGGTAGTGCTGGCAGAAACCCATCTGGTATCATCCCATGGTTCTGCAGAACCTGCCGAAAGCACCTCGTATTCTAATTCATAATCCGACTCCTCGGACAATTCTGCATCTTGCACACAAACCAGCACAAAAAAGTTGAGAACAAAACAGGATACAAAAGGCAAAGGAGCTAGTAAAAAAACCTTCTTCGTCAGGTAATGGTTGTTCAGCGATCTTATTTCCAGATTTCAAAACCATTCCAGGCCACATATGTGCAGAAAGTGCACCAAAGATTCGTTCCATCCCTTGACTGTCACCATCAACAGACAGACCTGAGACGAAAAGAAGCTTATTACAACTCTTTTGGCAGCAAAAAGAACCTTGATTTAACTTAAAATAGAGATGCTAGCAACCCAGCAGGGAAAAAATCTACATTCTACAGAAAGCTTCTGCCACTTAGAAGACAGCGGCGCCACTTATTAGTCGATTCTTTAGATCAATATCGTCATGGAAACCTATACAGTAAAGGACAGAGCTTTACTCACATTTATCAAATTCAGGATTGGAAGCACAAGCTTCAATGTACTCAATATTCCGATCAGTGCACCACTCAATACATGACCTCCTGATTTGAAAGGACTGATCTTCTTCTACCACTTCTTCTTCGTCTTCATTGTTCCCTAACAAATTGGCACCTTCCGTTTCAGAGATTCCGAACTCATCAGAGGCAGACTGCTCAAGCTCGAGCTTTTGCTGCCGTCGCAGCAACCGCCTTCTGTATTCTTGGTGTACGGGATGGCCTGGAACAAGATCCACTTTGTTCCCAACGCATAACAGTATCTCAAAATCGTGGATTTCGTTGCGGGATACCCATTCCTGAACTGCAGCAAGCGACGAGAGCTGCACAAAACGAGATTAAGATGGCAAATAGATGGGTAACGAACAGCCAAATTGAAATGAGAGAGAGAGAGAGAGAGAGAGATAAGGGGGCCGAAAGGGAAGACTGACATCAGTAGCGTCGAAAATCATGACCACGGCTGCCAATCGGCGGCGAGATGGGAGGTTCTCGATGCGGAAACCGTCGGTGAGGTGTGCAACCCAGACGGATACATCGGCGGAGTAGTATTTGGTGTCGATCGTCCACCTGTTAGCGCCAAGAGATTGAAGGTTCACACAACTGTTTCGAGGAGGGCAAAATGCGAAGAGGGATTAAGAGAGAGTACTGACCCGCGGATGAGCAATTGAGAATCGGAATCGGAATCGGAATCAGGATCATCTTCGAGATCCAGTGAAAGCAAACCTATGGGGTTAAGGAGCAGGTTTTTATCAATTAAGCGGCGATGGATGAAGCTGTGGAGTGGAGGCAACAGAGAGAGGAAGAGAGAGAGAGAGAGTTTTACGGGAGAGGAGGGTGCGTTTGCCGACGGCGGAAGGGCCGACGATGAGGATTCCGGGCCTATCCTCAAGCGATGGCGAGCAGCTACTCCGTTCGCCTCCTACTTCTGCAGTTTCTTCCTTTCCGGCCATTACCGTTGCTTTCTAACTTCTCCTTTCAGCTGCTTCTTCGTCAACACTAAGCTTGAGGGAAATGGTAATGACCAGTCCACTTTTCCGGCGAGACAAATCAAGGAAAATGAATATAAACATAAACACGGTGGACGAGAGGAGAAAGTCGGCAGATCTGGCCCAACTGTGCTGGCTATTGTTGGCCACGCAAATTCTGGTCTCGTGGCTGGAACCACTAAAGCCCATCGGCCCAATCATTCTCTTTTGAACTGCATATATGAGCTTCGCTTTCACTTTCTTTTATTGAATCAGAAAAAATCGACGCTCGCCGGAAAAGTCGCCGGAAAACCATCGGGAAAGCCCATCCTCGACGTAAACTGCGGTCACGCATCCATGAATCATCACTAAGCAGGTGCGTCAACTTTTTTTTAGTTTCGAACAATTTTTCCGACGATTTTTAACGAACAGAGGGTGGGCCGAAATTTTCCGGCGGCCGGAACCTGGCCGGGCCGAAAATTTTCGGCGGCCGGAACCAGGTCGGGCCGACGGAAAAAGGTGGCCGGAGCCTGGCCGAGCCGAAAAATATTTTTCGGCTCGGCCAGGCTCCGGCCACCTTTTTCCGTCGGCCCGGCCAGGTTCCGGCCGCCGAAAATTTTCGGCCCGGCCAGGTTCCGGCCGCCGGAAGTTTTCGGCCCGGCCAGGTTCCGGCCGCCGGAAAATTTCGGCCCACCCTGTTCGTTGCAAATCGTCGGAAAAATTCGATTTTAGGAGTTGAATTTAGATTTTAGGAGTTGAATTTAGAGTTTAGGAGTTGAATTTAGAGTTTAGGAGTTGAATTTAGAGTTTAGGAGTTGAATTTAGCGTTTAGGAGTTGAATTTAGCGGTTAAGAGTTGAAATTAGCGTTTAGGTTCACAAGAATATTGATGTGTTATATTGTAATTGTAGGAAAAATGTCAGAGTGGTTACCGGTCGATCATGATTACACAGCAGAATTTGAGAATGGGATCCATTATGCAAGTGTGGAGTTAGCTGAGTTAGCTGCAATAGCAATCGCTCAGGAGAACGGGTTCTTTATTGTTAGAGGAGCATGGAAACCGAATACTTCTGGACTTACTGCCCTCTGTATGTATTGCGACAGAAGCAGTAGGATCGTTAAATCTTATAAACCAGACCCTACGAAGGAGACGCGTGGGAATACTAGTTCGAAGGGTACTGGTTGCCAGTTTCAGATATGTATTAAGGAAGTATGGCAAAAGGATCGTCCAAACACATGGGTCCTAGTGGGAGTGACAAGTCGTGCAACCGGAGCTAATAGAGGGTTTCACAACCATGAAAAGGTGTTGTATCCAGAACATCACCGACACAACAAACAGTTTAGTGAGGCTGAAAAAGAGAGGTTAAGATTAATGAGGAAGGCGGGGGTGAGACCAAATCAGCAGAAGACGACACTCAATACTGAAGGGGGTGTGAGTCATGATATCAAACAGATGTACAACAGAAATTACAAGAACAGATTGGATGAGATGGGTGAAATGGATGCGATACAGTTTGCGCTTCATGGAGCTGAACAACGTGGGTACCATATCTGTTTGCAAAAGGACTCTAATAATGTGCTCACTAATCTGTTTTTTGCGCACCCGACGTCCATTCAGATGTTGCATGCATGGCCGTACGTCATCATCATTGACTCGACCTACAAGACGAATAGGTATGGCTGGCCATGGGTTGAGATTATTGGGGTTACTCCAGTCAAGAAGAATTTCAACATTGCATGTGCACTTATTAAGCAGGAAACAAAGGAAACATATGAGTGGGTGCTGCGATGTATTAAAGGGTTGCTCGGTGATACGGTTCCGAATGTCATTGTGACAGACAAAGAAGGTGGTCTGCTTGCTTCTATGCCCCTGGTCTTCCCTCTCCCACATACTGTCCACCTACTATGTTTATGGCACGTCAACAACTGTGTGAAGCAAAAGTTTGAGCAATTACTGGGTGGAATTTCAAGAAGAGAGGTAGCAGAAGCGGTATGGAAGAAATATTTCGACAAAGCTGCATGGAGTTGGACTCAGGAGGGTTTTCTTCAAAAGATTAATCAGTTTGAGAGGGTCTGGACACAGAAGAACATAAAAATGGTTGACTACGTGCGAGGTGAGTGGTTGCCTTGTCAGACAATGTGGGCAAAGTGCTACACGAACCATGTGTTTCATCTTGGTAACACGAGCTCGAATAGAGTTGAGTCATCTCACTCTTCATTCAAGAGTTTCCTTGTGTCTGGTAGAGGAGCGATTGACACTTGTTTTGCGAAGAACCACAACTACATGGAACATCAGTTTCTAGAAGTGGTGAATGAGCTGCACAAGTCACTTAACCGCAATCTGAGTAGGGCAATTGAGCCTCCGTGCACGTTTTTGAGGAGGGTCGTTAGTTGTGAGGCGATCAAACTGATGTTAGATGGGGCGGCGGAGTTGAAGGACCGTTGTGCGTGTCATTTTCAGATGACACATGGGCTCAAGTGTGCTTGCCAGGTTGTTCAAGCTAAGGAAGAAGGACGTCAATTCTATGCTCAAGAGTTGCATGTATTTTGGCGGACTTTGGATTATAAAAACCCCCCACGTCAACAACAAGTCAATGATGAAATTGAGCTTCAACGAGAACACTTTAGGCGTCTTACTGTTGAGGTGGAAGAAAGAGGTCCTGAAGCAGTGAGACAAGCAAGAGATGCCCTATTCTATGGGCTTCACCCAGCAGAGGACAATGTGAGGGAACCGGAAGTGAATGAGAATCCGAGAGGACGGCCTCGAACAAGCACCAGTCGCATTCGTTCATATTATGAGCGGTCTCGTTCGAGGAGTACTGGGCCTGGTTCGAGTGGAGGCAGGGGGCGATCGAGTGGAGGTAGATCCCGATCGAGTGGAGGCAGATCCCGATCGAGTGGAGGTAGATCCCGATCGAGTGGAGGCAGATCCCGATCGAGTGGAGGTAGATCCCGATCGAGTGGAGGTGAATCCGACGAGCATGATACAGGTGAGTAATTGGTTAAATATTGTAGTCCATCTAGTAGTAATTGGTTTATGTTTGTAAATTTTGTCCAAGTAATTTTGACTGTTTGGTATAATTTGTGTAGATTACTCATCATAGAGCCCCCCAGGGCAATATTCTTACCCTTACATCGATGAGCTTTTTCCAGAGTTTGTTCGACCTTTGCTGGTAGGCGATTTCAACCCTAGTCCAGACGGCCATTGTGGTTTTAGGGCACTTTCTCATTGTATTTATGGGGATGATAGTCACTATCTGCTCATGAGATCGGCGATTGTCCATGAAATCCAACAACATTTCTGGAAGTACGAGAACTTGTATAATGGTGGTCCACTAGCTCACATTGACCGCATCAATTGGCTCGAGGCGGGTTCCGCACCAATGGGGCGATGGATGGATTCTGAGGACTTGTTCGTGTTTGCCACCATCTACAACATCGCAGTCATGGTCTTCACATACCAGATGTTTGATGTCAATAATGGAAACCGTCCACTACCCAACCGCTACGATGATGCCTATGTGGTATTGCCTATTGATGCGGACCAAGGTACTTTGCCACCAACCATGTTCTTATCACTGCACTATGTGAACAACCACTACATTCGATTGTACTTCAACCAGGATCAGTTTCCCATACCCCCTCTGCATCCACTTTGGCATGGATAGCAAGTCCTAACGTGGCGGGGTGGGAAGCTATTCTCGAGGGTGGACAAAATTTGTATGCGAGTCTTGGTGGTCGGCAGCGAGCCAGGCAGAGAGACCCCCGAAGAGCTAGGGGAAGGGGTAGGGGTAGGAGCAATGCATAGTGTTGCGATGCTCTATTTATATGTTGTTGTTTTTCTAGTTGTATTTTAAATGGCTCTAGTGTCATCATGAACTTATGGATTTCATTATGGATTTCATTATCATCATGAACTTATGGATATCATTATGGATTTCATTATCTACCCTCGATGTTTTAATCATGAGTGTGCAAACATCCGATCCAAACATAAGTAGTCAAACATAAACATCTGATCCAAACATAAGTAGTCAAACATAAGTAGTCAAACATCCGATCCAAACATAAGTAGTCAAACATAAACATCTGATCCAAACATACATAAATATGCAAACATGCAGTCTAAACATAAACATCCGATCTAAACATCAAAACAACTAAAAATCCCCTGGAGGGGGGAGTCCCTGGGAGGCCCAGTACTCAGTCCACACATCCTGCACTCCGTGCAGTGCCCTGTAGGCTCGTCGAGAATGCTCAAGAAAACTCATCCTCGGTCCCTGCTGCTGCTCGAACTGCAGGTGCAAACGTGTACAAAAGGTCTCGAGCACGCTGCACAAAAAAAAAAACAATAACAATTGTTAGTTTCACGCTAAGTATATTTATAATAGAGTAACGGTCTAGTGGTCAAATCTTACCGCTGCGGAGTCAACTAGTCGATCTGCATCTCCATCATCCCGTAGGACTCTACAATGAGAGTGTGCCACGAACCAGTCAAGATAGTCGGCCGTAGTCTCATATGGATACGTCCTCCAGGGCTGAGAGTACATGTCTATATGAACCATGTGGGATAGCAGAGCATCCCATGCAGCATCAAAACTCTCAGGAATCCGAATGACATATCCACCAGGTGCCTCTGGTCGGTCTGCTCGCTGAGGACGCGAAGGGGGAGGCGGTATCATCTGTCGGTATCCAAACTGTCGGAGGCAACGGGCTGGATCATAGAAACTCGCCTATATCAGCGAACCGAATCACTCCAGTGTACAAAGAGCGACGCACCTCAAGATGAGGCCTCTGATGGAAAGGTGTCCAAAACACATCAGCAGGGGTCAAGCTGTCAAGAGCTCGACGGTAGAACGCCAACCTCACACTGGGATCAGCCACAGAACCAGTCGCCGGCTGCCCAAATCCATCGTGAAGCCCAAGCCTCATCAGGTCCAACGACAGGTGGCTCAAAGTGAGATGGCCTGAAACCCGGAAAGTACTCGTAGATCCAACACTGCAGAAGTGTGAGACAACCAGCCACCCCCCTAGCACCAGCACGAGACGCCTGACCAAGGCATCTGTACAACCAAGCAAGTGTACCGGACGCCAACTGTACTGATCTATCTCCTCCAACTCGTCCAAAAATAGGTTCACCACCGGCCG